AGCAATTATTGCGCAATATCATAAACTGGAAAATTCTGGCAAAATGGAAAAAGAACATAATAATTCATTGCCTTTGATTTATTACACCAGGAATAGTGATAATAATAGTAACGATAAAATAATAATAATAATAATAATAATAATAACTGATAATGATTAATAATAATAATAAATAATGATAATAATTTTTGGTTTAATACGTGTATTTGATGTTCCCTTAATAATATATATATTATCCAACATTATTTTCAATTGATTTAATTCTTCAGTATGTAGAATTTGATATGAAATACGAACTTAAAGTTCGTTTATTTTCTCAAACAGTTTTCTTTCCTAAAAATTTTAACAGTCGAAACATTTCTACTATAATTTATTGAAAAAAAAGATTTTCTCATTTAGCAATTTTGTTTTTGCATTTTAATTTGCATAATATAATGTAAAGTGCAAAAATATCTATTTGATATGCACCCTACTATAATGCAAAATTAAACATGCAATTAAAGTGCAATTAAATTATTTAAAAATTTGAATAAAAAAAAAAAAGAGAATGAAAGAAAGGGAGAAAGGAAAAAGGAAAAAAAAAATTATTTCACTTTTTTTTGCTTAAATATTTTTTTCTTCCTTTTTTCTTTACTTCTTTTTGTGAGAATGTGACAATATAATGTTGAATTGAATCTTTCCTTTACATAGCAAAAAGTATCTTTACATAGTACAATTTGCTTTCTTTACAAATATTGATGAATGATAAATATATATATATATATATATATATGCATTTATATCAATGCAAACGATGAATGATACAATGGAAATGTTTTTTGAAATGATCGTTTTGGAAAAGAGCGCATAAATATTTCTTTACAAAAATTAAAATTTTTTATTTCTCTCCGATATATTGATTGATTAATATATGCATATCATATTCCATTGAAATCAATTAAATTTTTAGCAAACATTCGTTGCAAATTTTTTTATCAATAAAAATTTTCTTTTCATAAAAATTATTTATGCTTTTTCCAGGAGTAGTTCTTATACTAAAATATGAGAAAATTTAAAACAACAACAACAAAAATTCTACCAAAAAATTATATTTGAATATATAATTGAATATAATAAACACAAAGACGAGATTGTTGCAACATTTTTAATTCCAAAATCTATGGTTAAATTATTTGAAATAAGAAAGAATAGAAAACACTAAAATCGTATACTGCTATTGCTTTTTACGTCTTAGACAAATGTTACACTTATGTTTTTATTTTTTTTGACGTATCAGAATTAGAAATGATAAATTAGCAAAGCATTAAGAACAATTATGTTTAATTATTAATTACAACGATTAATCTTTTACCTCATCGCTTACTTTCTATTAAATTCTAAATGATGAAATAAACGTTGTTTGTTTATCAATTAAGAAGATCCACACGTATTACTTTGTTATTATACACTTATTGTATATTATTTATTTTCATGTATGTTTGCTGTCGTTTATGATTAGCAACTTTTTTTAAAAAAAATTAAAATATTTAATATTAAAATTTTAATCTTAGAAATAATTAGAATGTTTGGGTAATTGAGGAAAAAAAGAGTAAGATGTAATGTTCCACATATTACAATAAATTATTAAAATTATTTTAATATGTCACTCCTCCGTAACAGTATGCGTATAACAAATTATTATTGCAAGGGTAGGATTAATTCGAGTTAAATCCTTTCTGATATATTGGTTATCATTTGATGACAATAATTAACAAACAATTTGTAGCAATAATAATAATGATAATAATAATAATAATAATAATAATAATAATAATAATAATAATAGGATATAAATTGTTTAAATAAATTATAAATTATTTATTTATGAAGTGCCATAAATTTTATAAATTGCTATAAATGAGCTATAATTTACTCAATTATATATATAATTACAATTGTAATTCATATGATAATTCAGCTAAAACACTATCACATCGATTATTATAATTGTCATTCAATGACTTAATTTACGAAAATAAATGGATTGTTATCTTATCATTAAATACTATATCCAAGTGAGAGTAAACAAATATGCTTACATCGAAAATAACCCAGGTATACCATTCTCTTCAAACTTTCAAGTGGTCGATTACTTACGCTACAACATCCACCCATTTTCTTTTTTTTTACTATTAAACGAAACAATTTTTTTTTTCAAAATGACGAATCTTGAAGGTCACCAATTAACGGCATGTTAGTTAAATAAACTGATCGTTATTTGTGTAATAAATTAATTATTCTAACTGGTTGGAGATAGCAATTAAAAATGTTGTACAATTTTCATTTGATTTTCTCTTTTCCCTTTTTCATTTTACCAATTAAATGAAGTAGAAATGTCCATTCAAAACTTATTTTTCCATATAAATTATTTAAACAAGCAAGAAATAAAGTAATGGTGAAAATTTTTCACAATTTTTTGACCTAAAAAAGAAAAAAAAGCAAAAATTTCATAAAATATCATTACTGAAAGAATAAATTATATAAATACATATGTGAATGTAAAAATGCTCCTTTTAATAAAAATTTTTATTAAAATTAACATTTAACGTTCCTCATTTGACAAAAAAGCGCAATGATAATTGCAAAAATAGCAATCAAAGGGATGAAATTTGAAAATGTAATTTCCCATCAATCGATTAAATTAGGCACAGTATGTATGTTTAGCATTTCATTACATAAAAGAGAGCAACAATTATAACACCAGTAATAATAATAATAATAAGAATGACAGTAGTAATAATTAAAAATCATGGTAATGATTACAATGATAGTGGCAGTAGTAACGATAATGATAATGATAATGATAATGATAATGATAATAATAATAATAATAATAATAATAATAATAATAATAATAATAATAATAATAATAATAATAATAATAATAATAATAATAACGTTATCAACAATAATTATTATTATAATTATAAGAAATAAAAACAATAACATTAAGAAAATTGGAAGTGGAAATAAAAAAATAAGGATGAAAAGGATGAAAAAAAAAAGCTAAAAATGTTAAACATTCTTATTCATTTTTGCGCGAATAATACTAAAGGAAGGAAGAACGATGCATTCAAAAAATGAAATTAAAAATTCATGAATTAATTAACTAATCCTCAGGAAATTTCTGGTTTAAAAAACTTTTTAAAATCACTATTTTTAATCGTTTTATAGCAATTTTACAAAATTTTTAATACATAAACGAAAAAAGTGAAACAATTCAGGATGATGCAATAGATGTAATAGTCAGAAAGTTTGCCTTTGCAATGAAGAAAGAAGGGCAAAATTTGCCCATATAAATCCTTCTCCTTGTTTTTTATTTTCTTTGTTAAAAAAAAAAAATAAAAAACACAGATATATTAGGTTCGATTAAATTTTAATTACAGTAAAATTCAACCAAACTGGAATTCACTTCTTCATTTTTCCCTTTTTTCTTTTCTCTTTATGTGTGATAATTTCTTGTCTTTTTTTATTCTTTTTTTACTTTAAACAAAAGTATGAAAGAACGAAAAAAAAAAACATTTTAATTGATTATGGCACTTTTGATAACAAAATAATGAAAGAAGGGTCAAAAATTTTCGCAGAAATCATTTCCAAAAGATAAAATACATACATATTCATTATTATCATTTCTTAACATTATCATTTTCTTATCATTTGACATTATTGTAACAGATCAGCAATATTACCAATAACAACAAAAAAGACAACAATACAGTGGAACTAAACAGCAATTGAATACCTTTTTTTGTTGGTTTGTTTCATTTTGTTTGGTTTTTTTTTTTTTTTTTTTTAACAAAAACAGTAACAATAATAAAAACCAATAAACAATATTAAATTATATGTATTTATACTATGTTTATGCATTTACAGTATCAATGAATAGATTATTGGTACATTTATTGGTCTAATAATAATTTAAAAATTACACTTTTTTGGTTTCGTGTTTGCTTTGTTAAAGACAGTAAATAACCAAATTTATTTATTTTATTTTTTGTAAAATAGAAATTGTGCAGTAGTGCAATGAAATTTGAACCGGAATAGCATTGCAACTGATTCATCATCATTACCAGTCTAATAATAGCATCCTTTGAAATGTACTAAAAATGATCAGTTAGGCTCAGGCAGTAATGTAATGATAACAAATGTATTAATGATTTAAAAACCATCTAAATAAATGGTAAAATTTTAAGGCAAATGATAAAAATTTTGTTGGGAAAGAATTGGTAAAATGAATCAAAAGAAAAGAAAATAAATAAAAGAAAAAATGGGACAGCAAAAAAAAGTAAAAAGAAATGGAAAAATTCATCAGTTTTCAACATTTTATTATTTCATTATCCTTTTTTGTTTTTAGTTTTTATTTGTATTTATATAACATTTATGTTCATTATCATATATATATTTTGTTCAGATGATTGTTAATCTGTGCAGGTATTCAATTTACACTCAATGTCGCAAGCACATTAGATACACTGTGAAATGACTTTGTTGATATTAAAAATATATATAAAGGTAGAAAAAAAGGCGAAAGTGTTTTAATACTTTTTCAATTTTCTATAAATTATAAATTATTAGCACACTTACTTATTAAGTTGCAAAATAAGGTTTAATTAAATCAAACGGGTGGAATTAATTAACAATTAAATTATAATAGGAATTGTTATTATGAACATATTTTTTTCTTTCAGTAATTGGAAAATTTCATTTGCAACAAAATGAAACATAATATGACAGTGAAATAAGCAAGTAAATCAAGGAAATTAGGATGCGAATAAAGAGATTGAAAAATTGAACGACTGCTTAAAATACTATAAAATAAAACAAATAATTAGTTAATTAAACGCTAAGGCATGTAAGTTGAGGATAATGACAAAAAAAGTGGATAACATGGATAAAAAATAAGAACTGTATAAAGAGTAAGTCTGAAGAAATGATAAAAACTAATAAGTCAAAAAAAATCGTTATATAAGAACATTTGCGATCGCGATACAGCTGCTAATGATAATTGTATTTTCTACATTTCCAAATTTTTCATATAATCCTAAAAATGAAACAAAAAAATAAAAAATTAAGTAAATATTAATAGTAAATGATAAAACAATGCATATTAATAATTATTTCTTACGCAATTTTTCAACAAATTCAATTTTGCTACTATCGTAATGATTTGATATTAAAACTGATATGGTCCCTAAAAAAAATAATTTTGTTGGTAATTGACTGCTTACTAGATTTAGCACAAATACTTTATAAAATATAAAAAATTTATAGTTTTGTTAAAAATTTCCGTTCTTATTATAATTAGTAGTTATTTTTTCCCTTTTTGCATTTTTTTTCCCTTTTTTTTTATAAATAAATTGCGACGAATTGTTTAATTAAAAAAAAAAAAACTGTTCATTCCTAAAATTAAATAAAATAAATTATTTGACTCAACAAAATGAATGAAATACTAACTTAGCGTATCTTAACTTACTTCTAGTAGCTGAATCCATATATTCTATTTCAAAATCAAGGTCTTTTTCTTTCTCTTTAAGAAATTTTGGTGCAATATATCCATTTGAACTTATTGCAAATGACACATGTTTGGAAATTTTCGGCCGATCACTAGCATCAAACTTTTCTGTAATAAAAATGCTAGATTAAATTTAACTAATTATATTTATATCCTATTTAATTTTAATCAAACATATCAGAATAAAATTTAATATAGTTATTAAATTATAGAATATAATAATTCATGTTTAATTTTTTTTAAAATAAATTTTTAAAAATAAAACTTTACTGTAGCAAGCTACTACGAGGAGGCATCAGTAAATTTTTAAAAGGATAAGGATGAGTACCAATCCCTGAAAATTTTTTTTTTCGTATTTTTAAAACATATTGTCGTTTATTATGTAAAATGCCATGAAATGCTGAGATGTTGAAATAAACAAACGTTGATTCTAAAAAAAAAAGAAAGAAATTACCTTCTTGAGATCCTAAATCTTCCAAATTTGAGTTTGTCGCTTGAAATTGTCCATTTGCAAAATACGAATGATACGGAAACATTAGTCTCTTTTTATCACCTTCATTAGATTGAGTTACCTGAATTTTTTTTTTTAAAAAAATCTAGTTCAACATTTATTTCTTTCAATGTAAGCAATATTTCATCGTTATTTTCTTTAGAAAAAAAAAAAAAAAAAAAAACAAAAACAAAAAAAACAAAGCTTATAATTTGGTAGATGCTAACACTTACTGGGATATAAACAACAGGAACAGCATACTGACCAGAATTCACTGGAATCACCATTACTGGTCCACTTTTAGCAGTAAATTCTGGAACTGAAAAATAAAAAAAAGACATGATAATAAGAGTCAAGGATTATTTCCAAAAATGCAATAATATATACCAGGATGTATAATAAATAAATCAAAAATCTCAGTAAAATTTTTTTGCTTCTAAAATTAAGAAATGTCGCAAATGTAAATTAAATTTTTGCAAACTTAATTAGTCGATAATAGTTTTAATTTTTTTTTTTTTTTTTTTAAAAAAAAAGCTAGTTCAACATTTATTTCTTTCAATGTAAGCAATATTTCATCGTTATTTTCTTTCAGAAAAAAAACCAAAAAAACAAAGCTTACAATTTGGTGGATGCTAGCACTTTCCTTTTTTTTTTTTTTTTTTTTGTTACTAACAATACTTACTTTTTTGGCTTATTCTTGTCCATTTTGATTCCACTCGAATTTTCAATCGCATATTTTCTGTTCGACAAAGGCCTCCTTCATCATTTTCTAAGCCGTCTTTGTCACCTGTTGATGTTGCTGAAAAAATTATGTATTTTTAAATTTAGAATAAATTTTGCTTTCTTAAAGTAATAATTAATCAAGCTTTTCTTCTTTTTTCATCTTTTTTTATTCTTAAATAGATTAATATTTTCGATATAAAAATGATAAACGTTCCTTTAATAAATTTTAACAAAATAGTAGTGCTTTTTTTAATTTTAAAATAAATTTTTTTTCATATAGCATTCCCTTAATAGATAATTATTGTAATTTTTATGATATAAAATGGAACGATGAAGAGAAGGTTAATGTCGATCAACTTTTCGCTTGAATGAACATTTTCATTTAATTATGATTATACAGATAAATATAATGATGCATTTATGTGTAATATATATTTGTAATATTAACGTTATTGCTGATAATGATGGTAATGATAATGATAATGACCTTGGCTTCTGTAATCTGACCTAAACTAAAAGAGTTAACAATTTTACTGTTATTAATTTTATTTTTTTGAACTGAATATAATGATGCATTTATGTATAATATGTAATTTTTGAAAAATTTCTTAATGTTTTATAAAAAAAATAATAATACAAATTACATTGCATACCGTCACAAAAATTTGTTCTTATTACAATTCAAAAAGAGAAAAGAATTATTTATTGTTTATGATTATACACAAAGAAAAAAAAAGTGAACTGGTAATAAAAATAATGCAGTTAAGTTCATGAAAAAATAAAACATTGTAAATTGTTATAAATTAAAAAACAAAAAAAATAAAATAAAATATTATAATTCCCGAAATATTTAAAATATTTTTTTTTTTGAATAAAAAAATTATATTTTAAAAAAGAAAAAATATAAAATATTACAAATCAGAAAATGAAAAAAAATTTTTTTTTCTTTTTGCTGAAAAAAAGGCAAAGAAAAATAAAAAATAAAAGCAAAAAAGAAAAACCAATTCAATGGAAAAAAGAAAAAGAAGAAATAGAACAAACAAACAAACAAACAGACAAAGCAAAACAAAACAAAATAAACAAACTTATAAAAAAGTAATCATGATCTGGTTTATATGTCATTTCATTTGGTAGCATTGGTATTTCACGTAAACGAATGATAACTGAATCATTTGCTTTCATACATGTACCAATTAATGAATTTATAAATTTTGCTGGGCCACGGCAATTAAGTGCTCCGCGTTCATTTACCTAAATATTTTTGAAATAAAACAGTATAACAATAATTATGTATATAAATTTTCAATTTAAAATCTAAACTTGAACCGCTTCATTTTTTTCTCTATTCTTTCTTATTTCAATAATGAATAGTCATTGTAAATGATATATATATATATATATACAAATGAATGAATAATATGTAACATGATATGACATTAATATTGATTTTCTCACTCTGTGAATAGCTGTTTGTTCAGTACCATTTGTTGAACAGCTAAAGCGTATCCTATCATTCACTTTTAAATTTTCCATAAATGATGGAATATTGTTGCGTCCCGATGAAAATCTAAAATTTAATTTTCAATTAAAATGGCTTTTTATTAGTATTGTTTGGAAGAATTGGAACTCTTTTAATAAGAATTAAATCATCTTATTACTTTATTTATTGTTTTGAATTTTTTCTTTAAACTGTAGCACATTCAGAGTTAAGTAACTTGATCTAATCGTGTTATAAAAAAAAAAAAGAAATATATGAGGGAAAGAAAGAAAAAGAGAATGAGTGAGAGAGAGAGAGAGAGGGAGAAAAAAGACAATGAAACATAATCCTTATATTATGCATAATAAACAATAAGTTTCATATGATTATTGATTACTCTAAGCAAAAAATTAGCAAACGAAAATACATTTTTAAAACATTTATTCATAATTAATTATTCTTTTATAAGATTCAACCAATTAATTTGTTCAGTCCTTTTTCCTTTTTATTTCTAATCTAAAATAATATTCGATTAAAATTACTATCAAATAAAGTTTAGTTAAAAAAACGAAATGCTTTTTTTTTAAAAAAATATTTATTCATAAATAATTGTTCCTTTATAAATAAAACTCCATTAATTAACTTGTTCAATCCGTTTTTTTATTATTTCTAATCCAAAATAAATCTAATTAAATTACTATCAAATAAATTTTAATAAAAAAAACGGAATGTCTAATGTTATCAAATTTTTTATAACAAATATAATACTATTATAGTTTATGTTAAAAAAAAAAAAACTGTTTTTCAGAATAATTCATATAAATTAAACAAATAATGAAAAAGGAAAAAAAAATAAAAAAGGATTAAAAGAAAAAGAAAATGAATGAAAAGAAAACAACATACAATGGATTTGTTGATATCCAGCTAATATTATATATTGTTGCTGATGTCATTAATGGTACAATAAAAAAGCGTAATAATGTTATCCATAATTTGAACACATTAGCCGCTAATAGCAGCATAACTTAAAAGATGAGAAACTCCTGTAATGTTTCATTTCAAATGACTAAACTATGCCAAGAAGGAGGATAAAAAAAAAAGATTGCAAAACTAACCAAAATGATTTATGAATCGAATCAACGTTAAAAGTTTACAATATGGCGGCCAAATCTTTCTTTTTCCTTTTTCTTTTTAATCATTGATAAAAGTGATTTTGTTTATTTTTCCAGTCATTTTTTACTTACCAAATTTTAGGAGTTATTTTTTATATTTTATATGAAAAATATGCATGCTCAACCATTTTAAATAGATTTTATCTTTTGTTTTGAAAAAGTACTCGGTTTAAATAATTTACAAATTATTATCATTGAACATTTAATGTTGCTTTGCAAATTTATTAGTTATATGAACAATATAATAACATTATTATAATAATTTTATAATAATAATAATATAAAAGATGATATCCTTTACTTCATTATTACAACATTTGCTCTTTCCTTTTTAATTCTTTCTCAATTTCCTAAAAATAAAAATTTGAAATGAAAGAAAAGCTTAATATTACATATTTTTAAAGTAATAGAAGAAATAAGATGGATGAAGTTATTTTTTTTTTATCTATCATATGCTTTACTAATTTCCTTGTTTGTATTTATATTTATATTTATATGTACAGGCATGCATGTGAATATAATAATGGTTGAAGATTCATTTGTGATAACTGCTATATTTAAAGATGATATACTGCTGAAAACTGTCAAAAAAAGAAAAGAAATAAATAAATTAAAAAAATCAAAAAAAAAGTGGAAATATCGATGAATTAGTAACCTCAGTAATGAAAGGACTTCTTTTAAAAAAAAATCCAAGTAAGTGAAAAAAGCGATATATCAATTATTATGTACTGTATTTTTTTTTAAAAAAAAAGAGGAAAAAGGAAATAAGTCATTTCTTTTTCAGTTATTTAAATGAAATTTTTATTTGATATACAAAATTCCGAATTCAAAATAATGATGAATAATAGTGAACAATTATATTAAATAGATAGTTTTCAACTGCAAAAGAAAAAAGAGAAACGAAGAGAAAAAAAAAAGCAAACAAACACAGGAACTTTAAAATTACAATTGAATAATGCGATTAAATGAATTTTGTCAAGAAATTTGCAGAAAAAGTAAATAAATAAGTAAAATAATAAAATGAAACACATAAAAAAAGGGAAGAAACGTTTTTACATGTAAAAAACTGAATTTCCGGAAGCAAAAAAAGTAACAGCGAAAGAGCAAAAAAAAAAAACTTTTACTTTATTTCTTTGCGTTTCTGATACAGAAACAACTGTTGTATATTATTATTGTTGTTAACTTTTCGGTTCCTTTTTTTCCTCGTTATTTTCTTTTTCGATTTTCTTTTATAAATTTGTCTGGAAATAATAATCAAATATTAGTTGCAATATCATTTCACTTACTATTATTATGATTGATGAAATTATAATAATTTTTATTACAACAATCTGTCATACATTTATATCTGCTAATATTTTGCAATCACAATAAGAACAATCTTTTATATACATACATGTTAGATTAAAACTTAGCAAAAAAAATTTTAACTAAAAAATTTATTTACATCATCCAAATGATTAATGAGTAAATTTTGAGTACTTTCCGATAAAAATTTTCGATGTCAAACTTGATTTTTAATTTGAAAACTTTTTAGCAAATTAGTTAAAAGTTTCATTTCACTTTCATTTCATTCATATGCGAAATCTTTTTTAAATAGTAGAAAAGTACGTAAATAAGTCTCTAAAATTCTAAAATCCTTTTCAACAGAGAATTTGTAATGCAAAAAAATGTAACAAATTTAGGACAAATATGAAGAAAATTGATGGAAAAAATAATTCGGTAGAAAATAGAATAAAACAGAATGAAAGAAAAACAAGTATTCCTGACGAAATAAAATGCCCAAATGAAAAGCTCAAGCGTTGAAAAAAAGTATAGGAATGAAAGAAAGAAAAAAGGAAGAAAAGAGTCAGGAAAAAGAGTTTAGTAAATCGGAATAATGCATGATAGTTAAGAATTTGAAAGAAAACGGAAGAAATTCTAAAACAGTCCGGAAGAACGAAACGAAAGATAGAAAACCTACTTGTTGGCATAGGTCCACGTAGCGGTTGCTAGAATTGATATGCGAGATTTTCCGCTATCGTCTATTCATATTGTTTAATTATTTTCATAAAACCGTATTTTGTTTTTTTTTTTTTTTTTTTTTTTTTTTTTAAATCGTTCAGGAAATGAATAAATGTATAAATGAATTCGATAAATAAAATTTTGAAAAATAATTCCGGAAATTTTGAATTATTTGAGAAAAGAAAAACAAAGAGAAAATTTTGACAGATCGAAATTTTGGCTGCGACAATTTTGGATCATATCAAACTGATTAGAACCTGAAATAATTTAGAAGACGGAAAATGAATAAAGTGCAAGAGAGAAAATCGAAGTCATAAACCAGCTGAAAATTAATGAACCGAAGCATTCACCAGACCTTTTACCAGAATCATAATAGTTGATAGAAAAAAAAAAGAAATAAAAATAAAGAACGATTGGGTGAATTTACAGATGGTTTAGGGTACAGAGTATGGTAAAATATACCTTTTCATTTTTTCTGAAAATTAAAAGGAAACAAAGTTATAAAATAAATTTTGATTAATTTCTTATCAAGAATTTTTTTGAAAATTTCCTCAAAATTATGCAAAGTTCGAAAAAATTGAAGCATATCTAAATTGAATAAAATAAATCAAAGAAAATTACTGAAAATTGATGGAGAAAAAATTGATGAAATTTTAAAATAACAAAATTAATTTTTGTTAGTTGAATGTTTTAAAAGGAATTTTTTTTTTAATTTGGAGCTATTTTTGTAAATTAATATCATCTCAATAATGTTCAACAGCAATTGAAGTTCCTGATAAAAAGATGATAGAGAAAAGTTTTTTTTTTTTGAGAATTGATGATTGAATGTTTGAAAGTGAAGTAATTAACTGATAATTGGGCGTCGAACAATAGTGAATGACTAATTAGAAATTAGAGATGAAATAATTAATAATTATGATTCAATAAAAGAAATAAGTATAGAAATTCTTTTAATGCTAAGAAAAATGGATATGCTAAAATTGACAAATAAATAAAGTTAGTTTTTCAATGTGCTTTCAAAGTAACATTCCTGATTGGTTACATTTAAAAGTATGATGCATTCAGTAATATTTGGCGCTTCTGTCATAAACATCATTTCTCATCAACAGCGCACAATCTGAAACTGTAATGATATCATTGTAGAGTGGCGCTTGATATTTCTATAAATAATAATACATACAGATGTGATAGACAGGTGGAAAAGGAGAAATTGTAGAAAATCATTCAGAATGATAGACGATGAAGTGGAAAATGATATGAATTGGAAAAATCGGGTTGTTTGGTTTCGCGGGTACTGATGTTAAGCTCAATTCATTAACAGTAATAATAATAACAATAATAATAATAATAATAATAATAATAATAATAATAATAATAATAATAATAATAATAATAATAATAATAATAATAATAATAATAATAATAATAATAATATTAATAATAATAATAATAATAATAATAATAATAATAATAATAGATAAAAATAATAATACATCATTAGCTGGTCCTTTTTTAAGCTTTCCTTCTCTCTTCCTCCTTTATTTTTCTCTTATTTTTAAAGTAATTTTTTCTTTACTTTTACCAATCCCTTCATTTTTCTTTCGATCTTAAATTTTTTTTGATCTCATTTTACACAATGCTGAATATTTAATTATCCATTGAAAATATTAAAATAATATTTTATATTATTGATAGTTATTAGTTAAACGAATATATGTAAAAAAAATGAATAGAAAAAAAATATATATATATATATATTACGAATGAAATATGCTGGAAAATGTAGCAAGAAAAATGAATGGAATAGAACTGAAATGAAATAAAATTGAATGGAATAGAATGAAAAATAATGAAGTAAAATTAAATTGAATATTGAACGTAGCAATTAGTTGCTATGGTAATTGATACTAAAATAAGGATGAAAAAGAAAATAAACTGTTATCCAAAATGAAATAAAGATCAACTTTATCGATACACCACTCTTTTTCTTCGATATTTCAAAAATATATATTTATTTATTACCATCATTTCAAAACGATTAATTTAATTTACTCAAAAGATAACTGAGTAAATATTTAAAGTGTATAGCAGCGTAAATTTGGATAAAAAAATTAAGCAAATTAATTTTAAATTTGTTTGAAAGAAAAAAGGTAGAACTTACTTTTTGTTGCAAAAAAGTTAAAAAAAAACAGATTTATCTATCGGTTTTTTTTTTCAGTAAAAATTTATGCTATTATCCACTGATATTATTATTATTATTTATTGCTTATCATTATTACTATTAACCACCATTATCATTATTAATATTATTATAGCTTTCACTATTGAATAATGAAGAGATATGAATTATTGTTTTATGTTTGCTAAATATCTTTTGTCAAAGATTTTAAAAATTTACAAAATTTATGATAATTTCTTGGACTGAAGCTTTTCTTTTTCTCTTTTTTTTCTTGAAAATTATTATTTGTTTGCTAGGAAGAGAAAAGAATTAAGAAATTAGATATTAAAAAAAAATGCCAATTTGTATATATAATAAAAAGTATGATATAAATATAATAAATATTGTTGGCATTTTTTACTTGAATGTTAACACAAATTTATTAACAAATTTAACAGTGCAATAAGAAATATTTTTAAAAAATTGGAAATTTATTTATTAATAATATACTTACTTATTCACCACTAACTACTTGTAAAAATAATAGTCTTTTTTTTATAAAAAAAAATTATGAAGTAATTTAAATTTCTAAATATTTATATTAATATTTTTCAAATTCTTTAAATGCGTGATTTTAGTTTTTTTTTATTTCAAAATATATATATCTAAAGAAATGCAAAATCTGAGCTGAATAATATTTTTGCTAATATAATTTTCCACAGACTCATACCTATCCAATGTGAACTTAACACACAACAATACATCAAGTGCAAATTGATCAATCGTTGAATTAATTTTTCTGTGATATGAAACAACATTTATGATATTTTTATCAATTTAAAAGAAACGAAAAGCATAAATTGTCTCAAAATGTTTTAAAGAGGAGAATCATTTCTTGCTAAATGATTTTGTCTATATAAAAAACGTTTAATTATTGAGATAGCAGTGAGAAATTCTTTGAATTTAAAAAATTCGAAAAAATTTCTAACAATAAGCTGCAATATTTTATAATAATATTTTAGTATATATGTGTTGTAATATTTCAGTTTTTTATTTTTTAATATAATTTTTTTTGCTTCTAAATATATTACAATATTTTAAAATAGAATTTAATATGCAAAATATGCTTGATTTCTGAAATTTGATCAAGTTACTAAAATTTAATCCAATGTCATTTTGACCTGGAATAGACTTTTATTACATATTTTTTTTTTTTAACAAAAAAGGAAAAAACGTAATTTGATTTTAAATTTGTCAATTTTCTAGCTATAGTATGAAAAAGTGCGAAATTGACAACGATTTTAAGTGTTCAATTTTTTTTAAACTGAACAGCATCTTCCAACTAATTTGTTTAAAATTCGTAAAAATATTTTTGCTGTCAAATATCAACAATTTAAATGGTTTGAATTTTGAGAAATTCTTTTCCAAAGGGAAAAAAGCAGAATTTAAAAATAAAATTTCTCATGAAATGTTGGAAATATTATTTGGACATTTGTAATTATCACGAATGCTCAACTTTTAGTTTCTTTTTTTATTAAAAATAAAGATCAATTGCATTTTTTTCTGAATAATAGTATTATTTTCTACAAAAGTGGAAAAAAACTTTTATAAAAGAGCATTTTTCATTTGCATTTTTCGAATACCAACCAATTGTTTTTCGTTTTTTTAATAATATAAATTATATCATTTATGAAAAGTTAAATAAACATTTCACAAATAAATATGCTATATCTTTGATAGTGCTTTTTCAAATAACATATTAACAAAAACAATGAAGTATAGTTTCAATTTATAATTTCATAATTTAGAAAACTTTGTTTTCGAAAAAATTTTGCTTTAGAGTAAAAAAGTAATATTTTCTTATTCGTATTTTTTTTCTCCAGCCTTTACGTAAAAATATAACTTAAAAAAAACTTTTATATAATGCAATTTCAAAAATTTTAAATCTTTGACAATTTTCTTTTCATTTTTTTTTCTGCTTTCTCATTTTCTTTTTTTGGAAATTTTTTTTTGAAAATATTGAAAAAAGAAATACCATCAAAAGTAATAAAATTTTAAATTAAAAAAGAAAAATTATTGTTTTTACTCATTAATGTCAATCAAATTTTGTGATCAAATAAATTATTTCTAATAATTAAAAGAATTTTCCAATGCAATCTTTAATTTAACAAATGCATAAATTTGGTATAAATCAGAAACTATTATAATTTCAGTTGACACAAAAACATATTTGTAAGTTGTAGAATAAACACATACCGGAAAGTAAATTTATACTGGAAATGCCCAATTCCTTTTTTATCCCTTTTTCAATTTCCCATTTTTTGCTTAATGAGTGGAAACAATAAGTGTCATATATCCCTGATAAAAAAATCAATTTTTTTTCTCAAACAAAAAAAAAAAATTAATTGAGAAATTGAAATAATAAAATCCATAATTACGAGGTAAATAATATATTTTAAAATAGATTTCTTAAAAAAATCTTTTTATTACCTCTTTTTTTCTTCACATTTTTTACCTTTCAATATACTTTTTTTTGTCTTATTATCAGAATATTTTTTATACTTTATTTTGAAATATCTTAAAATATTTTAAAATAAAGTATAAAAATTGTTCGAAATAAATTTGTCAATTTTTGCTTTTTTTTTTGAATTTCTTTTTTCAAACGTTAATTATTAATTGTACTTGCATTACAGTCACTATGTTCACCATGAACAACATTCATAATATAATACATGAGAAATGTTGTAAATAGTAAGGGTGAAAAAATTTGCGTGAAATAATCTAGGCGTTGATATAATCGTATTACTTGTCGTTTTTTTACGCGAAAAATCTCACGCTCAAATTCATTTGCAGCTTCCAAACGTCGTTTTTCCTAAAAAAAAAAATTTTTTTAATTTTTAAACAATTTTTTAACTTTTTTTAATTTTGTTTTTTACTTTTTAAATTTCTCTTGGAATTTTCTGAAATTTTAGTTTTTGTTCTTTTTTTTTTTCTCAAAATTAATATTACTATTACTATCTATAAAAATTACTGCTGTAAGTATAAGCTATTACGAATAATATAATAATTGTAAATAACAATGATAATAATAAAATAATGATGAATAATAATAACTATAATAAATTTTCTTAGTCATTCTTATTTATTTTTTTCATAAAATGAGTAATGATTATTGCTAATTAGCTACGACATACGATATATATGCTTGAAAATCTATTTTTTTTTTTTTTTTGTTCCATTTTGATTTATTCTAATTAATCAATTAAGTGAAAAAATTTTTTTTAAATAAATAAAGTTTAATAAAAACAGTGAAAATTTTACAATAGCTCTAGTAGCTCTTATAAGTGCTAAAACGACGACTGATTCAAATAATGATAAAACGGTAAATATTTTCATTGCACGAAACCATATATCCAATGGTGTAATATAATTGATATGGACATGTTCTTCACCTCTTTCCATTTGTACCAATGTTAAAAGTACATTAAAAAAAAAGAGTAAATAAATATTTATCATTTAATTTAATTAAATAGTTAATTCTCTTATAACATTTTGTCTTAATTTACTTTACTAATAAAGAAAATTTTAAAATTTAAAAAAAAATATTTCCCTTTTTTGTTTTAGTATCTAAAAATTTTTTAATTCTTTTCCTAAATAATAAATTTAAATGAAAAAAAAAAATAAAAATGTATTTAACTAACAGAGATTGGTGTAATAATTCGTACTTCCTCATAGTTATATGGCACAAATGGTGCAATCCATGCAAAAAACATTGCTAATGAACTCGGTATATATTTTTCAATGATAAAACGTGCACCGGTACGTTTTAATTTGAATAAAACACGAAGACATGATGATGGCACTTGAAAAAATTTTTAATTTATTTTGAAAATTAATTTACATTTCAATGCCAATAAATTTTACCGTTAATTTTTACTTTACCATTTTTACTAATTTCAATTATTATTGGAAATTGTGTATGAAATATGAAAAAATTAAAACTAATTAATGCACAATTTTAAAAAAAAATTTTTTTTGGTGTAATACTTTAATGTATGAATGAAAGAAAGCATAAATTTAAAAATATGATTAATAAATTTATTTTTTATTACTATATGCTTCTACAAGTGTGCATGTTTTCACGTGATATGTCTAATATATGAAAATATTTCATTCGAATATTTTTATGTTTATCTATTGATTAGGCTTAAAGTTCCGTAATTACATTTAAATTAAAAAGAATAAATTTAAATGAATTAAATCAAACATTGCTTACATAATTTTCCATCTACAACACAATGATGCGTATGTACGGATACAAGATTGAAATCAGGTGACGGATGTGTTGACATTAAATTTATTGGATTTGTTGAAAGCCAAGAAAATCGGACACTTGATGGTATATGTGATACTTCAAAAGTTATATATATATATATATACATATATATTTTTTTTTTGTTTTTCGTCCAAATTTAAACTATTAATCCTTTTTATTCAAATCTAAACTATTATTTCAGAACTAACTTATTGCTTGGTATTAAAAAAAAATTGGTGGAGAAAGAATTGGAAGGAGAAATATATTTTTTTAAAAATTTATAAAAACTATTTAATATCTAGAAAATTTTTCACTATTAATTTAATCCTATTTGAAATAATGGTTAAAAGAAAAAAAGATAGGATTTAAGAAATGCGATTTGTTACACTTAAAAACATCACGTAGATTTATTTACCTAACTTATATTGCTTCAACCTTACGTACGTAAGAAAGGATGTAAAACTAACGCGAACTAATCATAAGTTCACATTGTTGATCATCATGTGGAAATTGACAAAAAACCATGTAACACGATGGTTGTAGTGTTATTCTTAAATGATATGATAAAAAGTTTTGATTAAAATTAGTGATCAAAATAAGAATTAATAAATTAGAAAAATTTGATAATATTGTAAAAATGATAAAACAAAAAACAAATTCAAAAAATTTTATAAACAATTTCAAAATATTAAGAAAATACACTTGATAATAAATATTTTCATTGCTGAAATCGTTTTTTTTTTTCTTTTTTAATATCACCTCATAGTATAAATTACTAAGCCATTTGGACTTATTAGCATTCGAAAATTTGGAAATGAAACATAATGGAAATGTGAATGTTTAGAATTAACAAAATACGGATCAGGTTTCCATATTTGATCCAAAATTCTTTTTTCCCAAATTCGTATCCATTTTGTATAATTGTTCATTAAACGTGAATCAATCCAACTCATCTGCATTTCAAAATCTTAAAAAAAAGAAACGAAAAAAATAAAAACAAAAATTAAAGATATTTTTGAAATTTGGAAAAAATTATTTTATTTCTTTTTACTAATAAATAAAAATAAATAAATAAAAACAAATATGAAATTTCCTTACCGATAGAATAATCCATATTTCTTGAATCAAAATTAGCTAAATGAATAATCTTTAGAGCAAAACTAACATCGACTGGTAAATCTAGAAAAAAAATTTTTTCTTAAATCAATATTATTTAAAGAAAAAAAAAAATGATTTTTTTTTTTATTATTCCAAAAGCATATGTTATACATTAATTTTTAATAATTTTTCCTTTCCTTCCATATTTTAAATTTTGTTTTCATTTATAATTTTTTTCGTTCTTTTTCTAATATTTTAGAGAAAAAATTTTGAAACAGAAGTTAAAAAAAAAAAAAAAAAACAAACCGGAAAATGTAGTAGGCACAGTGTTATTATCATAATTTATAGAACGCAAAATTGGCAAAATGTAACTACTTCCATAATGGCTTAATATAAAAGTAATAAAATTATGGAATTAACTCATTGTTTATCTTTATCTTTATCTTTTTTTTTTTTTTTTATAAATTTTGAATCATCAAAAAGTTGCAAATACATCTAAAAATAATTTTTTTTTCTTTCTTAAATTAACAAAAAATGTATATATATATATATATATAGAATATTTACTTTTGCTGTATTATATTTCACTTTAAGTTAAAAATAGCCTAAAACGCTTGCATTCATAAAAAATTCACTTCCATTTGTAAAATGTAATTAATTTTAGTATAACATAAATTATGGTTGAGGTAATGATATCTCAACCATAATTATGAGTCCTTGATATAATTTTTGAATATATTGAATGAAAATATTGCGAACAAAAAAAGGAAAATCTTCCAAAGAAAGTGCAAAATTTAAGACTTAAAGAAATAAATTCAAATAAAGAAATAAAGAAAAATTCAATTGATATATTTTCGTTCCCATAATAACCAATTATAGCATAAAAAGTTGTAAAATAAATAAATATTAATTCAAATTTGAAAATGTACAATTATAATGTAAAATAATATTAATTATAATTATGGCATAGTGGGTGTAATTATGGGATAAAAAAATTGTAATTATGGCATAAATATATACTAATGCAAATTTAAAAATGTTCAGTTCAGAAATGGTTTTAAATTGGATGGTGATGAAATTTTAATTAAGTTACCTGTCACAAATTCCGGTGCAATCATCCAAATTATTTAAATTTGACACCAAATTTAAAATTATTACTTTTTTTCTGTCACTTATCTCAATATTTGGCTTGTTAATCAGTAGATTGGTAGAATGAATAGTATCGGGACGAGTAATAATAATTTTCATACTTTCATCTTAAAACACAAATATTAATCGACATAAACCTAAACATTATTTACTGACCAAAACAAATAATTTGAGTGAAAAACAAAAGTTTAAAAAAATTTTAAACTGATTACTATTTATTAAATATATTCATTCGTTAGATTTAGTTTTATTAATTATATGTGTTTTTTTTTTTTTTTTTCCATAAAATTTATATTCATTTGCATTAATTACGTTTTCGTTTACGATATATTGTTTTTGAATATTTACCATTAAAAAAAAAAGCCATTACAATCTATAAAAAAGAACAAGGCAAATATCACATAATCATTAATAAATATATCTAATTAATTTCAATTCTGTTTTTTTTTCTTTTGAAATATATATGAACTGTACTAATAATTTAACTTGAATGAAGAATTTTCAATTTATATAACCAACTTAACCTTCGCAACTTTGTGTAAATGATTATTAACCTTTATATTCATCATTACTTCCTTCAATAATCATTTCTTTCGAATCAATTGATGCTAATGAATTAAGCTTTTCCATTTCGTTAGCAAAATTTGACACCAATCGTTTATCACTTTGACCTATAATAGATTTCATTTTATTATGAACGATTGATTAATAAGTAAAATTGTTGAATAAAGAGGAGAAAAAAAAAGGAAATCGAAAATAGTAATCTTATAATAAAACTTACTCATTTTAATGGCAAATAATATTAATACAAATAACCCTTTCATATTTGCAAATAACCAATATAATCCAAATCGTTATATTATTTATTCATTTGTTAACATTATCATCACTTTAATATAGCAAAAGAAAATTAGGAAAAGTGAAAGTAATAAATCAAAAAAAAAAGGGCCAAATTAAAAGGAAAAATTAATTTATATAAAAAGCAAAATTTTCACGTTTTTTTTTCGTTTTTTTTTCCTTTTTTTTCTACTTGCTAATAAACGTAATTTATGTCAGTTATTGTGTTTATAAAACAAGAAGAATAAGACGAAGAGAATGTCATTGCTGTGATTTTATTTAAACAAAAAAAACCAAATTTCATTTTTTCAGTGGTATGACAAAATCTTGTTTTGTTACACAATCTTAATTGTAATCATACAATTTTCTTTTGCCTTTTTTTTAAAATTGATCTGATCTTTTTCTTTTTCCTATTTCTCTTCACACTTATCGCCGTGTTGAAATAATCAAAAATTCTCAGTTTAAATTTTATTGAAACAGACTTCCCATTCATTTTTCATTGATCTTTTTTATACACTTCATTTCATTTTATTTCTTCATTTTTTTCAATAAATTACATTAACAAGAAGTAATCATTTTTTTTTCTTATCTTCTTTCTTGCAAATCTTGTTAAAGTTTTTCTCAAAAACTTTTGCATTTTTCATATATTTCACAATTTCCAAATCTTAAAACTTCCTTTTAAGATTTAAAAGAAGACTTACTTTTTTTTCTTTCAGCTAAATAAAACTGATAAGTACGATAGCTGAAAATTAGATTAAAGTATAACTGATAAAGTATTTATTGCTTAAAGTAGATGAGTCAAATCATGAAATGATAATTGTTCCAAGCTTAATTCTCATAATGCTCAATTCTTCAACTGCATGTAATCATATGATTATACATGTTGAATCAAAAAATGTAAAGAAAATTTATGTTTCAAACTGATATTGAATAAATTTTGCGCCTGACAGAATGCATTATCAGTTTTCTCATTTGTCAAATTGTTTTCGTAATTTGGTGTCATTAAAATGAACATAATGTTCATTCACCTCTTATCTTGGTGTAAAATTCACAGCAGCATTATCATCAATTCAACAAAAACAACAAGAAATTTTCTTTAAAAACTGATATGTTTATTAGTTTATCATTTCTAGCTTTATGTTAAGTTATTATATTTTTTTTATATATCATAATAGTTGCTTAGCATTGCTGCATCTCTATTCAGTCGTTATCAAATAATCATATTGTAATTAAATACATATACAAAATGTACATTTTGCGGAAGTTAATTAAATTTTTTATAATACAAAACATAACATAGAGCTGGAAAGAAAAAATTACTAAAACAGAATGCATTTGGTTCGCAACAAATAATGAATGGAACTACTGAAATCATCAAACAAATAAATCTATTCCTTCACTTATTCAAAAACTGCTTAATTCGCCTAGAAGACGACTAACACTAACAGTGGAATGAGAAGTACCTTCACCATGAATATGTGGTAAGACACGAATAGAATTAAGAATAAATTTGAAAAAGAAAAGAACGAAAAAATCTGCACGAAATTTGCACCTGGTTTAAGAGAAAAAAGTGATTAAGACACTAAAAGAGATGGAAAACAGATGGTTTCTAAATGAATCTTGTTAACAAACACAGAAAACCAGTGAAAGACTACAAAACAATAATTCACTTATAGCTGTTTAGTGGTTGGCCTAATTTTAAAAATCACAGAAGTGACAAATATTAGGACAGGAAGTTGCAGAAAGTAAAATAAAATCACTTACAGGTAACAAGACTATGTGAAAAATCTATGAAATAAAGAACCGAAAATTTTGCATGATTTTACACAAAACATTTCGCTCCTGAACCTGGAATACCAAATAAACCAGAAATTAGAGTGATAAAATGGACTAGAAATAAAAATTTCACCCTGAGAAACCTAAACTGATGCCAGCTAAACGGAATATTTGAGCAAGACGAGACTGATCCAGTGGTGGTCGATGTCGATCAAGTTTAAACGCAGTACAGGAATGATTACGAGAAAAATACTGAGGAGCATCATAAATTGGATCCCTTATACGGTTGTCGATGGGTATTATATGACCTTCAGTTGTAAACATGATACGTTCTTCATTACGATTCACTGCGTTGTTTATATCGAACAACTAAAAAAGTGCCAAAATTTCATCACGAAAATTGTTTTTTTTTTTTTTTTTTAGAAAATATAAAGCAAATTTTAAACAAATAAGAAAATCAAAAACTCAATAACAACAACTAAATCCTAAATTTGGCTAAATACGGCTCGCGATTACACAACATTATTTACCAAATATAGATATTTCACAGTTTCAGAAAGGAAAAACGATTCCATCCGATCCTCTAACGATTTATCGACAACATTGTGCACGGTAGCATAACCACATTTCACTTTTGCAAACGTGTTAAGAGACTGAAGAATGTCAAAACCAACACGAAGATAAAAGGGATTTTGTGTGGCACGATACAACATATAAGTTGATTCAGCCAGTTCCGGTCTTAACGGATAAAAATATACATCAGGTATCCTTAAAAAAAAAAAACACATGTCAAATATTTTGCAAACTATTCTTATCACGAAATACCTATGAATCAGTAGAAGTAATTTTTACTTACTTTAAATGCCAGTTGTATCGTTCAGGAAGAGCATCATATCGCTTCCACAATGAATAATATATGGCATGAATGCAAACTGCTTCATCAATATCACCATTTAATACTTGAACAGCAGCAAAACTAGCCTGTGAGCAGTAACATATTAAAGTAAACGAACAACATTTGAAAAAGTCAAAATTCAAGTTAAATCATCCTTTTGCCCAACCATATTACAAATAACATTGGTTGAGAAATGAAGCGAACAAATAAACATAGAATGTAACAAACTTGTAAAGCATCTATCCAGGTATTTAGTAGTGAACCATCTCGCATATCAACGTTCACATACATTGGCGTTTCCCCCTCACCTAAAACGCAACGATCACGGCCACGTCGTAATTGACTTATTATGAGCGCATACGCTTCCTGTATATTAAGACGTGTATAAATTTATTGCCTTCTTTTTAGAATAAAAAAATTATCACAAGCACTGCTCCCTTCATATCATTAATACCGCTAACTACCGTTAAAAGAAAAATATTATGAATTGCAGTGTTAAGTCTCATTTCACATTCCGTATTCTGTGTTGTACTTTCTCAGATCCTGAACGCTTTTTTTTTTCTTTTTCGCCAAACACACCGGGATAGAATACTCAGAAAGGAAGCTAATAAAAAAAATAGCATGTTTCTCTCTTAAATTTTAAAATATCACAAAAATAATAATTGAATTTGCTATAGAAGGAAATTGCTATGTTAAAATATTTCATAAAACCATACAATACCTGGAACATCCTCAAATCCGTCTCAACACCGAAAAGAACGAAAGCTTTAAGCAAATACTCATAAAACGAATCAAGGCCGGCACCAAGTCCACTAATTACACCTTTCCATTCGCCTGTTTGAATGTTTACGACATTGCCTGAAAGGATGTTTACTTGAGGAAATCTCAAAAAAATCAGCATACATGTAAAACCAAAAATGACTTATAAAAAAAAAAAAAAGAAAACCTTACAATAATTATGGATAGGATATTAAGATTTGGAGATATATAAGCACTAAGTTATGTATGAAAAGCTAAAAAATAACGTTAAACAAAGCTAAATGACAGAAAGATAAACATAAAGGTAAATGATATGATTACAGCTAGTAAAACCAAAAAAAGCAGTACCAACCCAACAAACCAGTTACTTTATTTCTCAAAGACCACAACTTTCGATTAGTCTTGCGCGCCAAGCTTTCATATGTAGCATCACCCAAAAGACGTGAGAGAACTGTAAATTCCAGTAATAAACTTCCAGCTCCAGCAACACAATTTTCGTTAATCGTTCCTTCCTTCACTCCACTTTGCAAATTTACCCGTGGAAATGGTATCCCTAAAACAAGTGTAAAGTTTCGTATATCTTGCAGGTAAGGGTTTTTAATAAAATTAACGTTTAACGGTCAAGTATGATAACACGTAACCAACCGGTTTTAGTGCCTTCAAAAGCTGGTAACAGACGAATAGCCAAATCATGTGCCATTGTAAGTAATTCTCCATCATAATCACTTAGAGCATAATTACCTAACATATGGGAATCATCAGTAAGGATCAGATGAGCTGACAAAAGAGATCCGATTATCCTGAAAAAAAAAAAAAAAAAAACGCTGAAAGACATGGGATGCGGAAAACAACGAAAAAACACCAATAACTATTACCATCTCATACATCAGCAAATCGCTCAGAATTAATGTTTTTATATTGACGAGATTTCTTTTTAAAAAGTGAGCTCCTAAATTAGTTTATGATTATTAGCCTGTCAATGGACGTGGCTATATTGCATGCTTAACATTTCGTGGAGTTATAGCAAAGCTACGACTACTTCCATAGAAAAACTTGATATTCAGAAGCAAATGTGAGAGTAATTCAATTTGCATATCATTTTAAAAGTGCAATAACCTAATCGTCGCCTCAAACACTTGTACTGTAACGTTTCTCTCAAAAGAAACGTTATCGATCACCATTCTAATAGCATTATGGAATTCAGTTCGATTCCCAAAAACAACCAGAGTATCCAACGACTCAATCTAGAAATGGATCATGGATTGGGACACTTTTTCCAATAATTATGAAAAACCAGTTCTCTAATTACATCGCATGCTTTGTTTGGAACATCGAATACCATAACTGTCGAATAAACGTTAACATACCAAAGAAAGTGAATAATCGCCAAGAACGTCGTTAATATTGATATTGGATCTATAAAAAGCGTATTTCAGGATACAAAATGTGAAAAATTGGTATGCTACCGCTAAAAACACTGTAGAAACAAATAAAAAAGTATATGTAAAAGTTTTTTCAAGATGAAGATAATAAAACTGCACAATCACTACACATTCA